GTAAGAACACAAGATTCTCGATTCAAATTACATATCGAGTACCCAATAAACATATTTTAACAAACTAAACAAATTTCTAAATTTCTCTACTATCCATGTACAATTTTACGCATTTGGGATTAAAAATTGAATACGAATCGGAGAATCTTTCAATAATAATTTTTAATTTAATAATATTGAAGAATCATATTATACTATTTTATAGCGATTACTAATTAAGTAGGTACTATTATATAATATAATATTCTATACCTACATTAATATACATAATATTCTTATCGGCGCTCATCATAAATTATTTGCAACAAATTAATAACAATGTGCAATTAAGTAACATTTGAAGTTAACTTTAGAAAGCTTAGAATCCGTGTAAAATTATTTTGTTTTAAATTAAATATCTTTAGATTATAAATTTATAATTTAATAATATATAACCTTGGTACACTTTATATACTTCCAGTACACAGATAATTAAAAGTATATATACATTTAAACATTTAGTTCAGATATGCATATTGCATAGGTATGTGTATGAAAAAATATATAGCAATGTAAGGAAGATTTAACGTTAAAATTACACTATTTTGTAAACACGCAAGAAGCCAAGAACCCGCGTAAGATGTATGCAATAATGTATTTATACTTTATGCATGATAATTATTAACAGTAAGATTCCATTGAATAATACTAAAAACAACATGAGTGTAATGGAGAATTGTGTTAAATTTGTAGCTTTAGGCGAAAGTAAATACGACTTATACATAGGATATTCGCTCTAGTTAAAAAGTGAATGTGAATCCATTCGGACTGCGACCAAAAACCTACGCAAATGTTATTTAACTCAATCAAAATGATTATATCACGTGAGACGCTCAATAGTTAACTATAGTGATTTAAATATCTTTTTCCGTGAAGCTATATGTTTTTGTAGTACCTACCTAGATTTATAATACGATTAGTCGCTAATTTATTGTTATTTAATACGTTAAGGATAATTTGGAGTAGGTACTAATTCAAAATTCATTCGATAAATTTATTTTTACCAATTTGGTACGATTTTTTTATCGTTCAATACAATAACTTATTTAATAAAATGTTTATACAATAGTGATCTTATTTTAATCCTTAAAATATATTTATATATTATATAAAACAGTTTTTATTTTATTATTGTTTAAATTCTGAGTGTTATTTTGTTTCATTTTGGTGTTATATTATAGTATTGAAGAGTAAAAAAAAACATTGTTTAAATCGTAAAAGTTGTCATCTACAAAACACGATAATACAAATGAGATAATATAGATTTGAAAACGGTACTAAATCTGTCTAAGTATAATAATATTCGATGGATTTCAAAATAGTGTTATTCGTGTTACGTCACCATATTATCGGCAGGCGCCTACATATTATTATTATGACGGTCATCCAGTTAATTATCATCCCAAACAAATTATCGATAATGCAACCGAATCTAGAGCACTGCGTCGAGTGCACTCGTCTTTATAGGTGGGCATAACCTATAATGCGAATTGTTTTGTTTTTTTCCCCTCGTCAGTCAAAATTATTGAATTTCGTGACCATTTACAACCGCCAACGGGACTTGCTCGTTCGGCGTGTATATATATATATATAACTATTAACTATTCAAGTACACAGATAGTACCTACCTATACCTATACAAATATCAACACAAACACGATTTCATCTCAGTCCATGTATAGTTGACGTATGTAAACCAGATTCTAACGATGACTAGGTACGTTTTTTGAAATAATTGAAACTTATACGCCGTAAGCTACCTGCGTTTATGTAGTACTTAAATACTAATACGATTAGTCTCTAATTTATTGTTATTTAATGCGGTAAGGATAAATTCAATAAGTTTATAATAATTCGACAACACAAAAAGACCATTATTATTTTGTCTGATAAATTTATTTACCAATTTGGTACGATTTTATTTTAAACATGTGTATTATTTAATTGTTCGATGCAATAACCTACTGAATAAAATGCTTGTGATCGTATGATATAATCCGTCCAAAAATAATATCATGGCTATATTCTCCTTGTTGCGTACAGTTTACACGCTGAGTATTGTTTTGATTTATTTTGGTGTTATACAGTCTTGAAGTGTTAAAATATTAAATTTCGTGACCATTTACGATCGCCAACGGGACTTGCTCGTCTAACGTGATGTATAATATACAAGTATTAAGTACACAGCTAGTACCTTACTATATAACAATATCAATACAAACACTTTCGTCTCAGTCCATGTACAGTTGACGTATGTAAACCAGATTATAACGATGACTACGTTTTTCGAAATAATTGAAATTTATACGCTGTGTATACATTATTATGTATTGTGTTTGTATTTGTAGTCCTTATTTTTCTTACACACAATAATAACATTATTTTGCATTGAATTTGCACTGTCAAGGTTGAACGACGTGTATATAATATATAAAGTACCTATATATACATTGTATATTTGTATGCGTATATAGTATATACGGTGCAAAAAATATTATAACGAGCGACCAGGGTTGAACTTGTATAGTAGATTTTGCAAAAGCAAGATTGACCTTCGACAATGAAAAGAAAAACTGCGATCGGTTAATCGATATGGTATATATCTAGCTATAATAGTACGCATAGGACATATTACACGCTCCTTAATGATGTTTTCATATTTTCTTTGGGTGTGATACCGAAAATTAATTGACCTCGAATAGTGGGGCCAAGTTCAACTCGTTTATTTATGTCGATTGAAGTCGTAAATCATTTTAGAATTAATTCATCTAAAACTCATCTATGCATAAAATATGTGTACCTATAATAGTTCTTTTTCAGAAACGATCAAAGTAATTAGATTTTAAAGTTTTAATTTTTTTTTTAACAATTGAATCAAAGTTATTGTAATATAATTTTAGATTAGAGTACCTATATGTATTTTAATGTATATAATAATTATTTAATAACTATTTGAATTAGTTAACAGTGTATTGTTGTCTATGTTTAATATAAATAAAAACAAAATATACTTAATTTAATGTTAATTAATTCATGAAAGATATTTTGTAATTTTAATTAATTTGATTTATGAACAAATTAAACATAATTGTCAGTTGTATAATCCTTATGTGAAACTAACATGAGTAAATCAAAACAATACAAATAAATGTGAATATTATTTTAAGATTTTCTTTTTTACTTGGAAATTTCTTTGAAACCTAATGCATAAAACATTAATATCTTAATTGTTTATTCTTTGAAAATAAAACAATAGACAGGTGAGTACTAATACAAATGAATAGAATTCATATATTTTTCAAAAACTTTTATTGGCTTGTTTCCAGATTTAACTTTGTAAATAACGTAATATAATTAGTTTTTAATTTTTAATGTACTAGTAAATGGACAGTTTTTAATTTAGGCATTAACGTAGGCAATAAAAATATAATTATTACGAATAAGAATAATATCAAATATGTCATAATGTCCTTATATAACATTGTATGCATATAAAACATCATGATTCAGAAAAATAATTAATGTTCACCTTTAGCTTTAAAAATGGAATTTTCCACACAATGTACTGTACACATTGATTTATTTTTATGAAAAAATTATATGCCTAAACATTATTTGTTTAATTTAATGCTAAATTATATCTTTTATCGCATTCAAAATAAAAACCATGTGGTTTATAATATAAAAGATCTTTTTGAATCTTAAAATTGTCTTCAGTTTAATTTTTATTGATTAAATAATTACAACATAATTCTGTTGTGTGTAAATTGAAGGTACATGATTATTACCTAAGCATGCTAATCCCATTTTCATCCTCTAATAAAGTAATTATCCCAATGAGAATTTTTTGAATTATTAAACTTTTTATATTTTCTTTTTACTAATTAAAAGAATAGTCTTCAACAATGATTTTATGTAAAAATATGTGTAATATTTAATGTAGTTCTAATTATACTCCTAAAATTTTTAAAAATAGTAAAATTGTAATTAATTACTATAAATTTCAAATAATCATAGCCTGGGGGCTATATCTTCGAAATCTGCTATGATATACTATATATAATCCTTGGTATGTACCTATTTAAAGTTTAATAATTCAGAAACCATTTCTTTCAATTTCGATTTAATAAAACTAGTAATATTTTATCATCTAGATAATTACATTAATAAATACAAAAATTAACAAAACTCACCACTGAGGATATATCCTATCGGTAATTGATATGCGTAACATGAAAAAATCATCTCCTTAACAATTTACAATAAAAATTATGGTTCTGATTTTACAAGACGATATTTTGCATAAAAAATCTAATGGTTTTAAAATATGATCCTAGATTATATTACTTAAAAATTCCAAAAACCGAAATTCGAATAATTCAAGGTCAGTCCATTATTAAAATAAATAACAGAAAGAAAATATGTTTGGTGATGAATCACCCTGTATACTTTACTTATCAAATATAAAATAAAGTCAGAATGAAACATGCATTTTGAGACTCACAGATTAAATTAAATTTAAATTTAGGGTGTTATGACGATAGTTTATTATATTTTTGAAGCTAAACTGATATAATTATCGATGTGTATTTTATAGTTTTACTACATTTTATGTATTGTTTTATGCACACAATGTTATAAATACACGCTCATTGAGTAACGATTTTTTATGATGGCATTACGGTGTGACATATGGTTTTTTGTTTTAATATATTATATTATACTTTAAAGCTAGGTACCGAAATTTATTTCCTGCTATTAGAGTCCTTAAATATATTTTTATCATATTTACAAATTTGTGACGAATTATAAAGCTTTCCTCTAAAGAAGTTTTTTTCTTCAAAGCACGTATAATATTATATTTTATTTTACATTAGTTTTTTTTTCCAAATAACGATTACGTTTGCTTAAATAACAATAATATCGGAGACAAAAATATATATTAATGAGGTGGTACTTACGAATGCTGTGGCCATATTATAAGCGCTCGACGAGCTCGAAAACGATGCGATATGTATAATGCTTCTCGATAGAAGCTGCAGGTGTCCCAACAGGAGTGCAAGTCTATAAGATATATGTGGCGTGAGAGACGAGATAATGTGCACTGCACTCAGTTAACAGCAACAGACGTGTCAAGACGAGCAGACTGTCGAGACAAGACGTCCCCTACCACCCATACCTACACGTTTTCTTCCACAGCGCCATTATTATTATTATATTGGCTCTCAAAGGGGGTGGAAAAACTTATATATGACGCGTCACCGTCGTTATTTCTATATTAATATCAAATGGTTTGATAATAATATAATACAAAACTATTTTAATGCTATTGAATAATAACTTGTTTCGGTATTATTATATTATGTCGATTGATTTAGTATCAAATATAATGAGGTTTACTTTATTATGAACAAGTTTGATGTGAAATGCGCCTGAGTATATAACATGGCAGCGAATGGAATGCGTTTTCAAAAGTTGAATAATAATATACCTACCTACATGATAAAATATCGACTCGTTTTGTACAAAATACGAGAAATATATATTGGAACTTTAAAATATATGAATAAGTTATATTGTAGTAATAATTAAACAACAAGTTATAAAATTTACCATTATTTTAAACTCTTACTTTTTAATTTCTTGCTTAGTTGTACTAGTTGTAGAGATGCTATTCCAAAATACACTTCAAGAATTAAATATCATATACAGCTGATAGATTTTTATAGAGGAGTTAAACACTCTTATTTTATTTCAATACAAATTACTGTGTATTGATCTTGTCGTTTATTTTTATCGCACATAATTAATTAATTGCTTGTTGTGTTTCCAAATACACAAATGAAAATACCAACTTGAAGTTTAATAATATATCAAATAACCTACATTCAAAATATTGATGGCAAATATTTGACAAAAACAAAGTGGCGAGCCGTCAAGGGTCTATGCATTCGTAATGTTAGGCTTCGCTTTTTAGAAAAGCAGAATGTTTATTTTATTTGATCATTCTAGGTACCTTATATTGATAAAAATATATTTATTATATAATGTTTTTAATCTATGAATGTATTGGGTATTAGTCTTTTACATTTTTAAAACGGTAATAAGAACAAATTAACCATGGTAAAATATTCAATTACTTCTATTACTTATTTAAAAAATCCATAAACAGTTAAGATAATATTATATTCTTTTACCTATTTACATTAAACATCGGAGTATCGTAAATCATAATAAACTATAATAATATATTATACTCTGAATCTTGAGAAATCTGGAGTGTATGTGGGACGTAAATATAATCATTAACCTTATATACATATTTTATAATATGTTGAGCAAGTAAATGATATTATGAGATTCATTTTAGTATTTTACAAATGAACTGTATAGTATTGTGGCATAAAAATACATTGGACGGTACGTACGTATATTATATTCAGTTTTTGTCGATTCCTTACACGTTAGATTACTGTTGTTTATAAATTTAACGGTATTTTTAAAGGGTTATTAAAATGCAATATATGACTATATTACCCAAATCAGTCTATATAACTGTGATAATCGTTGTACGATTACGGAATACCTTATTTCTATTAGTGTTATGTATGAATAAAAGTTTCTTTTCTTTGTTAAATTGAAAAAAAATATATAAAAAAAAATTAGTTAATATAATGGGATATTCGGAAATTCCAGATATATAATAATCAATTTCAAGTCCAAACCTGTTCAATTTTTATTCTCAAAGATAATCATTGAGTGTTTTTTGTTATAGGTAGTTTTTTTCAAAACTGATAGCGCTTACGTTGTGGCGGAGACAGGAGATATTGTGTCAAGAGTCTGGAATTATGCTGAAAATGCGTAACTAACTTTAAGTTACGACTTTACGGTGAGTGGATTAAAAAAACCCATAAAACGTTATATTTATTACTTAAATATCGTGGGTGTTCTATTAAAAAGGCTGACTTATAAATTTAACAGTATGCATTTTAATAAATATATTTTGCTATTTGCTTTAGGCATTTTATGCAAATATTATCAAATGGTTAATTCATTTTTTTTAGCTTGTAAATTTAAAAGCATCGTATTTATTGAATGCTATGACCTATATTTTAATTGAAAATAGTAATATCGTCATTCGTTATTATGTCACGAATACGTAATAAATGTTGCACCAGTATAGGATGAGAGTGTTTAAACTATGGTGCTGTGTGTATATGTGATGGTGACAGGTATACTATATTATTATGTCCAAGCAACGATTAAATGATTATATTAAATGCTTGTATTTTAATCGCGTGCCTATGTAAGTAACTGTGAACTACGTACACATATCTTAGGCAAAAAAAAGTAAAATTACACAAAATTCTAAAATATAAACACCAACACCGTTATGTAATCGCATGAGTTCAATATAATTTATATATAATATATAGCAATAATATAGCTATTATTACTGTACTATTTACTAATTATCTAACAAATGAAAATTCTATTGTTAAATGGTTGCTAAGCGAACTTTAATTTTAAGCTCTACATTTATTGTAGGTAGTATTTAATTTTTTTTTCTTTGAGAACTTTAAATGTCAATTTAAAAATAAGGACGGATAATAAATCAATAAATTATATCTCATCACAAGTATTTGCTTAAAGGGGTAATTTAATTGTATGTATTAATTTACTAATAATAAATAAAAATTATACAGATATATGAAGTGTTTGGAAAAATAAGATTAAAAGCAGCTATTTTGAACTATTGAAATTTTGTAAAAAATGTTTTAAATTATTAAAATTTGAATTTTATTATAGATAGCTGTTAAAATAAAACCATATTCAAATAAATAGATTTCCACGGTGTACTCGTGTGTATAGGACTTTTGGGACGTATACACTGCTGTCATACGGTGACATTATGTATGTATTACATGACCTTATTATTACACAAACATTTAGCCGTTATTTGGAATATGAGCCCGAAGGGATTAATATTGGCATGAGCTGTTTAAATTATACATTTTACTAGAACATGCACAATTTTTTGGAAGTTTGTTAGGTTAAATAATGGAGTTCTAGAGAAATTAAATTTTAAAGATAACCCGTCGATGTTATCCACATAAAAACATTAAAAACAGCTAATAATCCGTTTACTCCATTTATTTGTACTGTATTAGAACAAGAGTAAACCCATGTTAGAACATGGTCGAATATGTCTTCTGTAATAGATTATAATAGTATTGATGATCATAATTTGCATATAATAATAATGTAATACGTTATACATCAGTATAATATATATTTTAAAAAATGTATAAATTATAGTTTAATTTGGATTCTTTGTTAGGCGTATAGAAAATAGTATACCTATATATTCTTAAAATTGAAAGATATTTGAAAAAGGTTATGAAAATATTTATTTATATTAATTATATAATGTATTTTAAATGACAAATATTCTTGTGTTCTAATCGAAGATACCAGTCTAAGATATTTTATATTGTTATAACTTAATACTTATAACTTATTTTTAATACCGTGTAACCTGTAAGTAGAATCAATATTATTCTTTAATTATCAGTGATGCTGAAAAAATATTAAATATACTAACCTAACCGTATTATTACAACAAAATTACTAAAATCGTTATTCGTTATGCTAATTTGTAATTTCGTTTTATTGTGAAATTAAATTAACTATAAAAAGCTGTTGTTTATGTTTATTTTTAGAATTTTTAGTTACAGAATTAACTACTTGCGTAGAGCTTTGTTTTACATTTTCAATCCTTAGCTATAGATGTTGAAAATTTAATATAATTTTAAGTACAAAATCATTTTCCAATTTGAAAAATGTTGTCAACATTTGAACTTTAAATGACTATAAAACAAAAACGACCATATATAATTTTAATATTTTTCAAATAATATTATAACAGTATATCAGAAGCCTTGTATTACATTTTCACGTTTTTTGACTCATCAAATACAATTTTATTGATATTTATAAAAAAAAAAACTAAAAAAATTGAAAATTGAAAATGTCGGTCAACAGCCTAAAACAAGTCAAAATCGAATCAACTATATGAATTGATAAAATAAACATTTGGTGTAAATTTCAAGTGTCTATAGTAATTCGTTTTTGAATTACGATAAAATAAGAAAATCGCAACAAGAGAAATAATCAAGCGAATATCCAATGTTGTAACAATTTCAACTTTAAACTTTCATAAAAGTTTAATTTGACTTTCCTCTAATTTTTTTTTTCTGATAAAGGTAGACAAACTTATAAGGAATATTAAATTTTTAAATCTTAGGTATAAAAAGAAAATTTTTTTTTAATTTCTAACTCAAAATAATTTGTTAATTTTCGTGGTATTTACAAATTTTGTTAAAATTCTAACTTCAAAGGCACAAACAAATTTATTGTGGATTTACATTTAATTTGTTTTTTAATATCCACTAAAACAACTTATGAAGAACCTAGTATTTAATTTTCAAGTTTTTTGACCGAGCGAACATTTTTTTATTGATATCATTAGTTTAAAAAAACCAATAATAATCGAAAAATTCATATACCTATAAATAGTTTAACATGAGTCATAATATTTTGAAAATTTCACGTATCTACAGTCATTTTTTTAGAGTTACACTAAAAGCTAAAATCGATTTTTTTTCAAAAACTGGTTTTACCGTTTATGCCTTTTTTCCTTGATATTTTGTTGGTTTTTCCTGCCGATTTTGAAAACTATTGGGAATTTTAAATTTTGACCTACCGAATGCACCAACTAGATTCACTTTCCTACCCGAAAAGTTGCTGTTAAAGAAAATGAAAACACTTTACTGCCCCAAAACCTTGATGACAAACGATAATAAAACCCACATCATTGTAAAAACAATATAATATTCATCTCTCCGCTCAAAATCTACAATAGGTGCTTTTGAATAAATAGGAAATACATATTAAAAAATAATATCGGTAATCCGATCTTAAGACTAGAATAATAAAAATTAAAAGTAATTTAATACCGTATTATTGCACTTAGCAGTAACACATTATATTATGTCTTATTTGAGACTATATCACCGTCAGAATTGTGCAATAATAAATAGTAAAGCCTTAAGAGTTAAGAATTTTAACAATATTCTTATT